GGMMGYAYGGAATGAAAGCATCCTGACTTTGAAAAACTGTGCAATATGTAATCAGAAAAGAGGAAGCTTTGAATATGCAATGATTTTATTGGAAAAAGCAGAAAAAGTTGCTGAGAGAGAATTAGAAGAGAACCATGATTGGAAAGTCTTAATAAAGACTACATGGGCCATCCTACATGACAAGATGGGAAACACGAATAAGGCGAAAGAAATGATGCTTGAAGGACTGTCGATGGCCAAGAAACTAAACTTGCCAATAGAAAAGATGGGAAACAAAGACCCGATACGATCGTTTATCAATCGTTACCCAAAGGAATAATTTGGCTATATCAACAAAGTTGAAATGGTAAATTGGCCACCGTAATGATTACAAAAGCTGACGTTTCGAGCGTTAGCCCTTCGTCGGAGCGAAGGAGTTCCCTGAGACGCAATTTCCAAGTAAGTAATTTCTCCAAGTAAACGGTAAATAGAAGGCACCCTGTGGCTCTAACTTTAAATAACTCAAATCTAGTGCAGATCGACTTGAACCAAAACTGTTATACTAATTAACTCCGTCACTTTTATTTACTTTTATTTCATCCTCAATACCTCAAATCCCTCACCAATTTTGTTTTTCTTAGGATATTTACAAAATAACCTTTCCATCGATAACTCGAAAACGAAAAAAAAAAAATTTTATCATTGTTGAGCAAATTGAACTTATTTGAAGCAGCAGTGTCCTGCAACGCTGTAGTAATTCCTGGTATCCACCGCGGTGTTTTCAACTTTCAGGAAGAGAAAAGAAGAAAGGAAAAAGAAGATGAGAAGGAAACAGAAGAACTGCAGTCAAGATTCACAATAACAATTTTACGAAAGGGGGTCTTTGACTAGATTTATTTGCAAGAGACTATAACTGACCCGACGAAAAAACGCATTGCAGGCATTATGTTTCTTATCTGTCCAAAGAATTAGGCAAGCTCCCAAAACTTCTAATATTTTTCAAATATTTTCAAATGTTTACAGGATTAGACTATTTTAGTAACTCATGCTGGTATACGGCAGCGTAAAAAGAATGGCGAGGAAGAGTTACGTACTTTTTAAATAATTCGCCATACACCTGACGATAAGATATTGAAAACTTTTTTAATGGACGAATATTTAAGTTAAGTTCTGTTATTTAATCAGTCAAACCTTTTTGGAGTCCAGAATGATTAAGAGCCGCACCATTCATTTGATTATTAAGGATCAGTTATCCCTCCTACACCTCAGGTTGGAAGAGTAAATCGAGCAAAACAGGCGCTGTCAAGGAAAGGAATCGATTTCTGTTATGTTCGTCTAAATAGGATGAATGTCAAGAAAAGGATGGGATTCTATTCATATGCCTCCTCCATATATGAATTTAATTAGAACGTTTATAAATCACGATGTAAAGATTGTCCCTGTGTTGTCGGTGTCTTAAGCAAATTCATCAGCCGTTTTTTCTTGTTATTCTGTGGAGGCTCGTCAACGTCTTCAACTCAAGATATTTTCATGATCAATTACACGGCTGTTTACATAATGAAATGCTCTCTACTCTTCTTAGAATTTGGCAAATTGTTTTTTTTTCCCCATAAATCAAATAAATAGTCTTAATGGTTTTACTCCTCATTCTTATTTCGCTTAGGACTAACGTGCGACAAGTCGCAGCCAATCTGCCGAAACAAATAATGTCTAATGCAAATTACATCAAACACGTCTGATTACTGCTCATGCTCTATTTGGCATAACTTTTTTTCTGGCCAAGAACTTTGAGGTATCTATGTTGGTTTGTTACAAATCAAAATTTAATAATGGGTTGCACCTCAAGCCATGTGAGTGGTACTATGAGCCATATTGTGTCCTGTGTCATCTCGTGCAGGGATGTATTAAGACGATATTCTTGGCAGCCTGATCATTCGGCTCAATTGAGAACATTTCTTGGAATTTGCTCCCACGACAGCTCGAGTTTCTGAGAATTTTGTATTACCACAACTTTTTTTCTTTCTTTTTTTTCCAAGCCTCTATGAAAACTGCGAAACACTGCAATTAATAGATGAAGATATTACTTCATTATCTAATAACCCCAAATTACCAAGGGAATGATAGTACCGACAAGTGAAACGAAATCTTGCATATGATCTCGTTTACTTATTTGACATAAAAAAAAAACAAATCTTAAATCTCGTTCAAAACATCTCAGGAACCAGTCACTGTTTATCGCGGGAGGGAGGGGGTGGGGGGGTTCGAGAGATATTAGTTGTGTCCATGGCCCCCTTATTGGCAGTTAATTGACAGTGATTTTTCTTTTAGTCTCTGTGTGCGACGACTGGTCCCCTCCTTTCCCTCTGAAAACCATGTGAACCCCCCCCCCCCAAAAAAAAAAACTCGATAAATAAAAAAAACATCCTACAACTCACCAGGCTATAAACAACCACTGGTCCAGAACCTGTTATGAAAGACATATGCAGGTTCTGGACCTGTTGGTTTTCTTGGAATTCGAAAAAGGGGCATGAATCATCATTACCTTTTTCTTGGAACGCTAGCGTGTCGCTGTCGAGTAACTACGAATTAAACGCTTTTCGATTTATGCTGTCAGTTCACTGGATGCAATCTTGTCTACTCGGAGCAGGTGCATTCCAGGCTTCATTAACTGAAATAGAGGTTCACCAACATTGAGGTGAGAGATATTTTAGAGTAGACCACACAAGCTGGATAAACTAACGGAACAAAATTTACCTTACTAATGAGAAAGTGCCGGGGCTTTTTCGCAGGAAGTAATTCAGTCTTTTTTAAAGAACTCCTCTCTCGCTTTTATGCTGTTAAAGCAAAACATTTCAATGCTCTTAGGCCTGGTTTATACTTCGCATTTAATGAGACGAATTTGATTGATGAATTTTTTTCGTCTGGGAGACGAAATTAAATGTCTATTCATTTTAGACGTCGAATATAATTTCGATGTCGTTTTGTGCCCGCATTGACTTTTATCAGCGGAGAACTTCCAAAAACAACATGGCGGCGTTCAGAGAAGCAGTACTGCTAAAGATTGCTCTGGCGAGGCGAAGGCGTAGGAATTTGTACCAAATTTACCAAGATATATGCTTCTGGGCTCCGAGGAGTGGATTTTCGTGTATAAATTCTCGCACAAGGAAAACAGTACCCAACTCGCTTTCCCGGCTCCCATCCCTCCGCGTCTTCATCCAGTTCAGCCACAGAACATTCCAAACGAACACATACAGGTCTGTCACATCAAATACAACTGTATTTCGTTTTAGCCTTGCGTGACCAACAAGTCTGACTCAACGTTTTTCGGAAAAGGGCTCCTGCAATCACTATGTTTTCTATTTTCGCGGGAACTCTTCTTCCCTTGCGCATGCCATGCAGGTGAAAACTGTCAGCGTGGACTCAAAATTAACCGGTGGAATAATATATGTCCTCGAAAAATAATGTATGCATTTACTTCGATGCGACTGAAAAGCGACGTATAAAACTGACACGCATTTCAGACGTTTTATCCGTCTGGGGCACACGGATAAAACGTCTAGGTCGAATTTAATTTGTTTTAGACGTCGCTTTACTGTCGAAGAAAATTGCTGGAATTAAATTCGTGTGAATTAAATTCGTCTCTAATGCGAACTATAAACAGGGCCTTATTTGCATATTTTCTTCTCGTCTTGAACCAACACTTCAAAACATTAGCTGTTTCGTAAGGATACGGAAAAAAGTTCTACCTTGTTTCGAGGCGTAGGAAGAATGCTGTGTGAGTGACTGAAGAGATACTCATACAAACACTTTCAAGTGTCTAAAAGAATAATAACTGATACAAAGAAAACATTTTTAAGGTAAGTTTAAAAAGCGCAAAAAACAACAACGTTCTCTTGAATATTTTATAAAATGGTAAAGCTTTTATTTATAATTGAAATAGCTTAACTTATGGCTATGGATTTATTTCATTATCACAAAACTGACTTACAGATGTGAAAGGAGGTTTATGTGTATGTGACAATCGTCGCGTGATTAGCTACTCGTTAGAGATAATTCATCACAACATTTTGACTGGGTTTATTGCGCCGCGCAGAAAAAACTGCAACTCGATAGGTATCACATAGTGTCAGTTCAGTTAGGTTTGATAAAGCTAGGGGGAAGCTATGGGACCATTATTTTAACGCTTAAGAGAACTGGAAAGGGTTGTGACGACAAACTTAAAAACAGATTAATTATTATGACTAAGGCAGATGCAAATTTAAGATAGTATTCAGTTATGGAATATCCTACGAACTAGAAAGTAATTTATTGCAACCTCTTTCTTCAATAGAGTTTTGCGGCGTTTTCTTCGATTGACTCGAACCGATCAATCAGCCCAGCACGTTAACATCGCTGTTATCAGCCCACTCGCTTGAAATGTCTCCGAATACTATGCAAGAAAGATTTTCCGAAGGGTCAAGAAAATAGAGAACATGGCGAGCACTGTTTACGACGCATCAGAGGAGAAAACGAACGGCACAAAACTAATACGGCTTGTGGTTGATGGAGGAACACATGTTCTACGCAATCTTTTAAATTCTATTTACCCACCAGATAAATTGCAGGTCTCGCTAAACAAGAATAAGGCAAAGCTTGAACGGCTGAGGCCCAAAGGTGTAATATTTGGAAAGCAGTGGGAAATGTTGTTTTCTGACTCAGGTCATCCACCGGCCTCGGAAACGTTCGACATTACACTTTTACATCTCTTGCTTCGTGAAATTTGCCATCTTACGGCGCCTTCAACTGGTTGGCACAACATGCCTGCTGACGAAGATGATAGCCTGGAGGCAAACCTCGTCCGAATAAAATGCTTCAGAAATGAGCTGTGCCACAGTGCCTCTACCGAAATTGCAAACGCTGACTTGGAAGACAAGTGGAACAAGATAGCGTCGTCTCTAGAGGCCCTTGAAATGAGTGTTCAGCGAAGGAAGCATGTAGAGAAAATTGAAGCTTTGAAGAACGATCCAATTGATCACGACGTCCGGCGGCGTTTGGAAGAACAAGCTGAGATATGGGAAAAGGAGCAGGAACAAGAAGAGATTGACTCGACGATTTTCAGCCCCCGCAGCTGTTTACCAGACAAAATATCAGAAGAGAGTATATTTGGCCGTGACCAAGAAATAAAGCAAGTCAAAGATATGGTTGAGAGTGGAGTCGCTGTTGTCCTGATCACTGGTGGACCAGGATTTGGAAAGACAACTGTGGCTAAACGAGTGGCTCATGAGTTAGCAAAACCAGAGAAGGAAAGAACTGTGCTCTTTTGTAGTTTACTAACAAAGACGAATTTCAACGAGGTGGCCGTGGAAATGATCAACTCGTGTGGTACAGTCAGCAAGCAAGTAACAGAGAACCCAGGGCAGTGGCTTAAAGACTGGAGTAAAGGAGTCCAAAACAATGTCACATTTGTTCTAGACAATGTCGATGGCGTCCTCGAGTCGAGTGATCGAGCATTATTTATAAGCATTTTATCTGACGTAAGAAGGTAATCCAACCAGTGTGTGCAGTAGATCTTTTGTGTCTTCTTGGCAACGAATACAAGAAGAAAGGAGAGCAAGAGAAGTACCAAGAGGTCATGGAAGAAGCGGAACAAATTCGTGTGGCAAATGATGCTGCATTTGCGGCCAAACCGTTATCAGAAGTTTATTTTCACAACAGCAATGCTCGCTTCCTTTCAACTAAAAGAGATTTTAAAGAAAACAGACGTATTAAAGAGGAAACTGCGATGGCTTTGAAGGTATCCGATGAGCAGCTTCATGATCACCCCGAAAAAGCAGCAACTCTCTACCTTTCAGGAAATACTTCAAAGCGCAGTAAGCAGTATGATAAGGCCAAAGAACAGTTGAAAGAAGCGTTAGAACTCTTTCTGAGAAGCCTTGGGAAACATTTTATGACTGCTGAAACCCTGAAGGCCATTGGAGACCTTCACTTCTTTCTTGAAGAAATATCCGAAGCCGACTTTAAAATCTGCCCGGAGTATTATAAGGCCGCTTTGGAAATGTTCGACGACCTCGGAGTGGGAGGAAGCAAAGAAAGCATCTTGACTTTAAAGAACTTTGGAATTTGTCACACAAAAAGTGGAAACTTTGAGGAAGCAATGAAGCTACTATCGAAAGCAGGGCAGGTTTCCGAACGAGAGCTAGAAGAGAATCACACTTGGAAAGTCTATATAAAGACTTCACTGGCCTTCTTGTACGAGGAGATGAATGACGTAGAACAGGCGATAGACGTAATGCGCAAGGGACTAGTGATGGGCAAAAAACTGAATCTACTCATAGACAAGATGAGAAACAAAGACGAAGTTCGAGAATTTCTAAGTCGGTATCCAGAGAAGTTCCCCGAGACTGAATTCCCAAGTACGTAACTAATATTTTTTAATAAAGGCTGATAGTTTCGAAAGAAACTGTTTGGGGCTGCGTTGGTGGGAGTGACGAATTAACTTGGATATATCAACAAAGTTGAAATGGTAAATTGGCCTTTACGGTGGCCAATTTACCATTTCGACTTTGTTGATACATCCAAATTATAAGACTTTTTAAGATTGTTTGATTTCCAATTGATTGTTTGATTTTCCATTTGGTCCCTTTGAAGCAACAGTGCAAGTGCAGCTCCTGACCAACAGTGGAAGGAGATTTCCAAAAACTGACCCCGCTGTTTTGTATGAAGGGATTAGGGTCTTAGCATCACACTGAATTATACAGTTTGCAGAGGTACCTTATAGGCACCAAAAGTTGAATCGGAAACGTATTGTTTAGTTCACATTTAATAGCTTACTTTGCAGGTCAGAACTTTAACATCGACAACTGAGGGTACCTGGTTTGAATATCAACGCTCTTTATAGATCAGTGTGGATAGAAATGTCTTTTATTTGCGTCCTATCTTTTCCTAAAAATTCCCTCACCTCTTTGCAAAAAAATTGTAGTTAAGTTTAAACACCTCTGAAAACGCAGTCACGCATGTCGAATTTATTTTAAATTACATTTGTGAAAAAANTTCTCTCAACCCACACTGCGAAAATTCAAGCTCTCCCATCAAGTTTGCCCATACTATCTGTTATATGGCAGCATTTCCCCTTTTAAGTGTCTTTGTAGCCGACCTCCTGTACAAGCAGGTAACCAGTCAATAGACATTAGGCGGGCTATTAATTGTTTCTCAAGGGTGGATTGGAAAGATTGCAGGTTAGAATGACAATCTACTCCATGAGAGAAAAGAACGTGAGTGGTGTAATTTCATTAAAGCAGTCGCTCAGAGTTCCTCCAAATCTCTTGATATTGTCGACAAGTAGTGTAGTTTGTCAAGGCACGTGCACAATGTTCACGAGTATACTTTAGTCATGGGACAAAACTAGGTCATGTGATAAAATATTTGCCTCCCAGCCGTGTTTGTTGGAAAAAGTTTCTTCAGTATAGAAGATCATTAAGTAGGGGCTCATACATGTATTTTAATCATGGAACTCGTGATGAAGATGAAATGTAAAAAAAGACTATCAAAATCTTAAGATAGATCAAGGCTTATGCCTTTTCTGGTTTCATTGAGTTATAGAGTTCAAAGTTGGTAAAATATGATGGTGGAAGTAGAGGATCATGTATCTTTTAGAGAACCTCAATCTATATATTGACTGATACATCAACCTTTTGTATGAATTTCCCATCCTAAAACAGGGCCTAGACAGGTGTATGACTATTATAGCATGGGTTTCCATGCATATGGAAGCCATTAATTGCTAACTTCATATTAACTCGTAATTCATTGTGGGGTCCTTCTCCCCTCTCCCAGCCAGTACCCATATTTACATCTGGAAGAGTTCAAGGTTGAAGCACTTTGACAGTTAAGTATCTTGCCTAAGAACACAATGCAATGATCCCTGCTAGGGACCAAAACTGGACTGCCTAATCTAGAATACAGTGCACCAAATATTATTTCTATAT